ACTGGTATTGAAATAGTGGAACAAGGACTGACGTCGACACATTAGGTAAAAGATTAAATTTTTTGATGAATCAAGTGTACCAAAAACAGGGGTCGCCATTGTTTGACAGGGGACGAAAACCATAGTAAAATACTGATTTATCATGTATGATACCTACTCCAGTTGTTGTTATTAGCCGACGTTATCTCATATTCCTATCTCTGTATTAAATACCTCGATGCGTATTTATGAAATTCGTTTGGTCTCGTTTCATAAATACCTCACAGGTTTGAATTGGAAGTTGAAATCGACTCAAAATTTTACCGTAAGGTATCGTTTATTTTACTGAAAACTTGTGATTCCTCTACATTTCACTTTCCACATTGATAGTCAACTATGTATTGTGTTTATTTATTCTTATCTTGGGTAATTGGCTCATAAGGTATGCATATAGTTTTTGGGAACTAACTTACCCTACCTGCATTTTGCTCCCTAAAATCTGTTAACCAAATAATAAAATACCTTTTATTCCGGGTTTACTTAGTCCAAGTAAATGCCTTACCTAGCCGAATGCAATACACTAATGTCCAAACAAGAAATTGGAAAGTTGGTGTTGAAAACATATCAAGTTGGAAGGTTTTTGAAAAACAATTACATTAGCTCTTTGTATGAAATGTTAGTATTAATGTGAATGTATTTTAATAGTTGTGATTCATTTAAAACCTTAGAATAATCCTTCATTTTAATCGTTAATTTTACATTAAACTTACAAAACATTCAAGGAAAACAATGTTCATTACTTGCACTTTGTAGACAATTAGTTTTTCATGAGAATACATTCTATTTTAAGAGTAAGCTTTGTATACAAGTTGTCACATGATAAAAAAACTTATAGATTCACTTATACAGCTGATAGAACAAAATGTATTAGATTGTTGCTAGTTAGATAATGTTTTGGTCTAATAAGACAATATTCAATTTAACTTGTGTTGTATAATTTAGTATGAGATACAAATGTACCAATACATAATAAATAAATAAAACTGAAATACAAATTGTTTTTCAGGTTATGGCAAACTTGAATTTCCAACAAGCACCTAGAAGCCTAGCGAGCGGCGGTGTGGGTGGTCGCGTGAGCTCGGGGCTAGTGGGTGGTGTGTCGGGCCATGTGACGCCCACGTTTGGAGGCGCATTGTCGCCCGGTCGAAATTCCACTGCCATGCCTGGGGGCGCTCCGCCCTCTATGGCATCGCGATCAACACTGTTCGGCCAGCGAGCATTTGCTGACCGTAGGGTACCCATACCAAACGCGTTATCGCAGCCTAACTCAAATTCCATGGTAAGAATCACATGTTGTCTAAGATGCCAAAAAAACAAATACCTTCATCATAAGTTTTTTAACTTTTTTCAAGTACCCACACACCTCATTAAAAGTTAAATTGACAGCTCATTTGGCAGAAAAACAAGTTATTAAAAGCAGTGTTTGTTTTGTGAAGTGTATAATGTTACTGCATTAAAATTATAACCAAAATTAATATTAACATTAAACTATTAATGTAGCCAATAAATGATGTGAAAATAACATTTTTCAACGTGTGCTGAATATAAACCTCAAAATGTTATTCAAATATAAAGAGTGCTACTTTGGTTTTCAAATGCACCTAGTGAGATTTGTGTCAGTGTTTGAATTCAATTAGTTTCTTGAAAGTTGAAACTCTTTTGTAATGTTTCTGTTGTGTGAACCAAAGTTTGCCTTCAAATTATATTATTTATGACTACTTTTTTTAGTTTCATTGTAAGTTTATTTGGGGTATGATACATTGTTGTTTTTTTGTTTGTTTTCAGTCGAGTATGGGCAACCTGTCTCGGTTTAACACTAATAGCAACTATCACTCGGTGTTTGGAGAGGGTGGCGACACGTCGACACCTCCTCTTCTGGATCTCAGCGAGTTCCCATCGTTAACAGCGCGAGGGGCCGGTGACCAGGCGCCAGCCGCTGCGCCACCACCACCCGGCTCTAAACCTTACGGTATTCATATTTTATACATTAATTTGAAGCCTTGTACTATACCTATAGCCAGAAAAGAGACACCTATTATAATCCTTAACTTCTTAGTATGCTCTTTCTAACTATGATGTATAACAACACAGTGTTAATAGGTGTACTGTATTGTAAATAGTAACAATATCTGCTCTTTTAGCTCCTTACCTTGATCTTATTGTTGGCATTGTGTGTTCGAAATAAATAATTTATAAGCAGCTATTTGTATAGTCATGTATTGTTTGGCAGTGGGTATGGTGAAGCAGCCAACGTCGGAGCAGTCAGAGTTCACGATGTCGTCGGAGGATTTCCCAGCGCTCCCCGGCACGTCGAGCGCAGGCGGCGCGGCGCCACTGCCGCCGCCTGGCCCGCTTCCTCCTCCGCCCGACTTCAGCAATCACACCAACGACAAGCCTCGGAAGGGCATACAGACCTCTCCTGATGGTAAATATGAAAGTTCATTTTAAACTAACATTCTTCATGTTTCTAACGAAATTACTCACTCAGTAAGAAATATGTTTTTATTCATTTTAACTAATACTGTGATATAGAAAGGTTGTGTGTTTGTTTTATTACACAATTTAAAAAAGAATTGTCACTAACTATCCTATTCCTTTTGTGTTTAAAGTTGCATGCCATGTTTAAATATAGTAATCAAAATATTTTGGTATTTAACTGGATTTGCACCTGATCTGTAATTTTTTTGTCCCTAAAGTTATCAGTCAAGGAGCTCATACGGAATTCTATGGTGTGTATACTAAATAAGCACTGGAAATATATTAAATGCTTTGTTTGTTATTGCAAGTAGTTTTAATGTATAGACCAGAAATTCCATTGAAAATCGCATGATTTTTTCGGCAGTTGGTATAATAATATGTTATGTTTTAGGTAAAGTAACGAATATACCAGAGACAATGATACCGAACCAGTTTGGTATTGTGGGACTATTGACGTTTATCCGCGCGGCGGAGTCAGACCCTAGTTTAGTGTCGCTGGCATTAGGGCAAGATCTCACGGCGCTCGGATTGAATCTAAATTCACCAGACAATCTTTATCTCACTTTTGCTGGCCCTTGGGCGGATACGCCGTGCAGGTAATTTCTATAGAAAACATGTTTAAAGCTTTTAAATTTAGTTCCATAGAATTAAAGTCTTAGAGGTTACAAATACAAACTGACATAATGGTTGTTTGTTTCAGACCACAGGATATGGACTACCATGTGCCTCCGGAATATTTAATCAATGGTTCAATTAGAGAAAAGTTGGCACCTCTACGACTGAATCGATATAAGGAAGACCTTTTATTTTATTTGTTCTACTGTTTTGTGGGTGATGTGCTGCAAATCGCAGCTGCAGCCGAACTGTAAGTCTGTCGTATTATTCCACTAGTTGTAAGATCACTAAACTCTCAGTTTGACTACATAAATGGCGCTGTTTACTATATTGACATGAGTAACATGCTTTTTTTATACCCCAAAGGGGTTGGTATTTGGCACACCAGCAGTATTAACTGATCATTTCCATGCCTTGAAAACTTGTAGTGATTTTCAAACTAAGTACAGAATAACAGTATAAGCTAAATGTTTGAGGTAATGGCGCACGCACTAGTGACGTCAATCGTTTTGGCTTGTTCAACAACGCTCTGACGATCGGCAGATGGAGCGATGGTCATCCAACTGGCCAGCCGTCCCTGGCCAGTGACGGGTAGCAGCATCGTCGGCACTAGAGAAGTAGCTCGCCGAGGATCATCGACCTACAAAATTATATTTTAAACCCGGGGTTTAACGCAAGAGTACTATCAACTTATTTCAAAATTGACTATTTTGAAATTTTAGGATAACAAAATAAAAAAAAAATTGGATATTATGCAACTGCGTTTATTTGAATAAAATGATGATGTTTTTTATTATAGAAATATTAGAGTGTTTAATCATCTGATAACTTACCTATTTGTTTTAGCTATAATCGTGAATGGCGGTATCATATGGAGGAAAAGGTGTGGATCTCTCAAGCGCCTGGTATGCCCATGGTGGAAAAGACGTCAACGTACGAGCGCGGCACCTACTACTTCTTCGATGCGCACAACTGGCGTAAGGTACTATTGCCGTTTAGATTTACGGTGTTAGATAATTGCATGGGGAATGAAAGCTCGTTACCTTGCACTTCTAATGAAAATTACGAAGGTCGCTTTATCTTGTAGAAACGATGACGTCTAGTGTAAAATGTTATTTGTTTGTAGGTGGCGAAAGAATTCCACTTGGACTACAGCAAGCTGGAGGGGCGACCGCAACTGCCACCGCACGTGCTTACGTAGCGTTCCCGCCGCGTCCTCTCTCATACACCTATTGTAGTTTTGTTATATAAAAAGTACAAGTTTAAAAAAAGATTTGGTCTTTTATTTTTTTTGTAAAAGTTTTTAATGAGGTGACAGCCCCCTGATGGTAATAAATCGGCCTTTGCGATGGTACTGATCTAATGAAACCTATCCAGCATATATGCAGTTATATTTCTTCCATGTGGAAACAGTACCTGCATAATCCCATAATTGCTGCTCTACTGTCCTCATGAGGATGATAATGCATCAATAATTTACAATTAATTTATACTTTTGAAATAATTTTATTTACACAGCCTAGTTCTGTTAAAACTCACAAACATAAACACATTACAACTCAAATTCTAAAAGATGGTACAATGATACTGAGTAGACTGAGGTTGTCAAAAATGCACTATGCAGATTACGAGATTCTGTTTCTGCGAAAAATCAGCAGTTTAACTCATCGTGTACCAGACGAAATTTCGTTAATCCACGAGTATTTTGTAAATCCAAAACTTTAAACACAGGGGCTCCAACCCAAAACCCATGGATGGTTATAATCTGTAGGCTGTGTTTTAGGGTTAGGGTGATATTGTCAAAATGAAATTTTCAAGTACACTAGAATTTTAGACTAACATAGGTTAATAATTATGAGGAATACATGAAGAAAATACACAACTTTTAGATATATAGCATGTATTGAAAAATCTCATGGGGTGAAAATGTTAAAATACTTATCAAATGACAAAATATCATTATATGAAGAGCACAGGGATTTCACAATTATTGCTTGACGATACTAGCAGGCATTCAACATATTTCATGCTTGGAGATACCAACACAAGTATTATGCATTCCACTGAATCACTTTTGTGAAGATACAAAATTAATAGTATATAACATAACCTTATTCTAACTTATGTCCATATAGCATGAAATTGCCTAAATTGTGGATTTAGCACTTGTGGACTGCAGACTTGAAACAAACTGGCTTTGATTATGTCTCAGTCCACATCATCTGTGCTGACTGAAGTTGTGGGAGCTTCAGCAGCAGCTTGTGAAGAACTTGGAGAATTTTCTTTCATGGTTGGTTCATCATCATTAGTCTTGCCAGGAACCCACAGTCCAGAATCCACACATCTCTTCATGTAGTATATGGCTTCTTGCTCGGGCATTTTGGCAATTGTTGCTTGGAGCAATGGCACGTCTTGGGCATCAAAACATTTCTTTAATTCCTAGAAGAAATAAAAAAGGACTAAATGTACTAAATCTCCTTGTCATACATAGGTGTTTGGTAAAATTGTTGATAAGTTATGTTCTCAGCATCAAACTAAGATTTACTGTCATTGGCAAACAAGTAGCCACTGTTAGTAATTATTTATTTGATAAAAAATAGGCAATCTTTTAGTTAAAACATAAGTCAAATAGTTTCTAGATTCTAGACTCTGTGAGCACTTGGAAACATGAAAATCAAAATGTTTAAATAATAAACTTACGTCAGGTAGCTCCTCGTATACTTCAACAGGATCTAGTCCTCCAGGTCCCAGCCTAGCCTTGCGTTCCTCTTCCTCCTGCTCTCTGATGGCTTCGCTTATCTTCTCAGCAGCACGCTTCTTGATCCTTGCTTTAAACTGCTCCAATTCATCGTCAAAAGAGTCTTTGTATGTCTTCTCAGCTATTTGGATCCTGTAATACAAAAATGATACTTAGAGAATATGTTTACAATGGGGTAAATTTACTTTCTTATCTTAATAAAATTGTGTTTACTTGGAGAAGAATGAGCTGACACAAGCCCTGGGGTCCACATCCAATTGTTTTGACAACTCCAATATGTACTGCATGCAGATGGTTTGGTGAGCAACATGGGCCATCAAGTCATGTTTCTGTGAACAATATGAAAAATGTTGAATGTTAATCTACTTTCAAAAACAAATAATTTAATTATGTTGTACCTAGTGAGGGTGTGCAATGAAATCACTTAAACTTAACCTTAAGATACTGACCTCTTCCATTTCTAAGTTAATGCACCAGATGACCAGATAGTTGGCAGTCTCCTCACACACTAGCTGGTTATGGTCCTGCAGGAACTGTCGGGAGTCGTCGTAGCGCCGCAACATACCGAATTGTTTTAAGAGTTTCTCATTTTCTTTGATAAACTTGTTCATCTTAGCTTCCTTTTCTTCCTCAGTCAAGTTTTCATCCTTGGGCCTGGCAGGCTTAGTGTTGATGACAGTTTTAGTGAACCCAGGTTCACTGATTGTGTCCACGTTCCACGGAGTCTGACGTTCTTTCTTCTTGAGTTCATCTTCTTTTTGTTGTAACCTCTTCTCTTCTTTTTCAAGATCAGCTAAAGCCTTCTTTAAAGATTCAAGATCGGGACTGTCAGGACTAGCTTCACTGATTTTCTTTTTTGTTTCGTTTAGCATCCGTAAGTTTTCGGTCTTTTTTTGAATATGTTCTTCTCTTTCCTTGCGTCTCTCTTCCATGCGCTCGATTCTTGCTTGGTGCCGCCATCGAAACAGTGAGGGTGTATCAATGTTAGGGTGGGTCTCGTCTTCGTCATCCGATATCTAAAATCGAATTGACAAATCCAGGTTAACGTAGGAGGATAAACAACAGGGCAACTAATTTTAAATAGTTTACAGTAAGTACTCACTTCTATATCCTTCCATTTGCTGTAGTCGACCATTTTGAGTTTATTTCACGATTTTCGCTTGCAATCAGATGATTAAGTTTCTTTTGTCTGGACAGGAAAACCGAATTACTTCGAGAAACAGTAAAAAGTCCGGAAAATTCTCTCAATACATAACGCTCGCAACAGATAATAAATAGAAACAAAATAGAAACGTCATTGACGTCACATGCCAATGATACCAAAAGCTCGACCCAAAGACAAGAATTACTAAAATTTCATAGACAAAGTAGGATGTTGGCCATTGACATAGGAAATATATGGACTTGAAATACCTACGAAAAAAAGGTGCCTACCTACAGTCCAAAATGTCGCATAAGATGGCTGCCGTTGCTAGGGTTGTGCCGACTAAGTATTTAACGAGTATCGATACAATTTGAGTAAAAGTTCTACATAGGTATAGTTTTAGGGATTAGCCAGCTGATTAACGGTATTTTTTATGGGAAATCATCTAATGTCATCTCCGGCCTTTTTCGGGACAGACCGTTACTGACTGAAATCAACTCCTGTTCCTACTTTGCCGTCGGCCTAGCTAGAGCCCGGAACCCGGGGTTAACATGGTCTCTTGATTGGCTAATGATTTTCTCAAGTCGAATTTGTATTCATATAATTCTACGTAAAGCGTCTTTTAAAAAAATAGGACTGTGTTTATGAACAGCGTTTAATGGAATGGTGAAATAGAAAAAGATAGTGTTTGTTAAATGTTCAAAAGAATTGAATTGAATTGTTTATCTTTATATATGTGGAAAACCTGTGGGTATTTGTGAAGTGCTCGCGCACAATTTCAGCGCGTCTGATTAAGCGATGATATCTTCGAAACTACGTTAGCACAAAATAGATATGTAGTGAAGTCAATCTTATTGTATGTATCTCACTTTTTATTATTACGCTTGGTGGTCGCACTGGGATCGTCGCCAACGCCGCTCTGTCAATCGCGCCCGTATAATTATAAAACATGATAATTTGAACTTCTACTTATGTAACTAAAACCAATACCAAAATACTGACATCTTACTTTAGCGTTACACAAAACTGCGGAAACATCCATTGTTAAAATAGATTATTTAGTATAATATATGTTGAATTTTAAATGGGAGATTATATCGATACTTTTGTGAAATGGTACGTAACTATGCCATATTGACATATTATTGTAAACAACAATTTTTTACTAAAACTGTCTCACAGACAGAAATAAAAGTAAATATATATACTTTGGCAATAGATTAAAGTATCCGTGACATTTTTTTCTATCTATGTGGATTACTCTAAGTAATATTTGATGAAAACTGTTTACTAACCTATACAAAGACAATTGAGGTTGATTTTCGTTCTTTTTTGCACCACACTGCACAATACAACACACAGGCATATTGCTTTTTTTGTTTCACTATATATATTTGAAGTTTAAAAAAATGGTTCTTTGTAATTTACAGAAAAACCGCAATAATTTAAAACATAAACAACCGTCTGACAGCATAACTACCATGAAACTCAGGTACTCTGAGCGCTTAAGATGGCGGACATGGCACTTACCTACATTGACATAGGAAATATATGGACTTGAAATACCTACGAAGAAAAGGTGCATACCTACAATCCAAAATGTCGCATAAGATGGCTGCCGTTGCTAGGGTTGTGCCGATTAAGTATTTAACGAGTATCGATACAATATAAGTTCTACGTAGGTATAGTTTTAGGGATTAGCCAGCTGATTAACGGTATTTTTTTATGGGAAATCATCTAATGTCATCTCCGCCCCTTTTCGTGACAGACCGTTACTGACTAAAATCAACTCCTGTTCCTACTTTACCGTCGGCCTAGCTAGAGCCCGGAACCCGGGGTTACCTTGGTCTCTTGATTGGCTAATGATTTTCTCAAGTCGAATTTGTATTCATATAATTCTACGTAAAGCGTCTTTAAAAAAAATAGGAATGTGTTTATGAACAGCGTTTAATGGAATGGTGAAATAGAAAAAGATAGTGTTTGATAAATGTTTATCTTTATATATGTGGAAAACCTGTGGGAATTTGTGAAGTGCTCACGCACAATTTCGGTGCGTCTGATTAAGCGATGATATCTTCGTAACTACGTTAGCACAAAAAAGATAAGTAGTGAAGTCAATCTTACTGTATGTATCTCACTTATTAAGCTTGGTGGTCCCACTGGGATCGCCGCCAACGCCGCTCTGTCAATCGCGCCCGGATAATTATAAAACATGATAATTTGAACTTCTACTTATGTAACTAAAACCAATACCAAAATATTGACGTCTTACTTTAGCCTTACACAAAACTGAGGAAACATCCATTGTTAAAATAGATTATTTAGGATAATATATCATGAATTTTAAATGGGAGATTATATCGATACTTTTGTGGAATGGTACGTAACTATGCCATTTTGACATATTATTGTAAACAGCATTTTTTTCCTAAAACTGTGTCACAGACAGAAATGGAAGTAGATATATATACTTTGGCAATAGATTCAAGTATCCGTAACATTTTTTTCTATCTATGTGGATTATTCTAAGTAATATTTGATGAAAACTGTTTACTAACCTATACAAAGACAATTGAGGTTGATTTTCGTTCTTTTTTGCACCACACTGCACAATACAATACACAGGCATATTGTATTTTTGTTTCAATATATATATTAGAAGTTTAAAAAAATGGTTCTTTGTAATTTACTGGAAAACCGCAATAATTTAAAACATAAACAACCGTTTGACAGCACAACTACCATGAAACTCAGGTACTCTGAGCGCTTAAGATGGCGGACATGGCACTTACCTACAACTTTGCTAATGTCAAAATGATTTGTTGCCCTAATAAGCAACAACTTAAATATTGTTGTCCCTTTTGTCTAATACAATTATTGCCTAAGAAAGAGTGAGAAAAAACTATATTTCATAGTTTGTTTCATATTACACTCATATTTGTATAAGCATGTATACTTCTATAATAACACGGCGCCTCTATATATTTTCTATCTCAATGCTTACCTACAACTTTGCTAATGTCAAAATGATTTGTTTCCATATTAAGCAACAACTTATATATTGTTGTCCCTTTTGTCTAATACAATTATTGCCTTAGAAAGAGTGAGAAAAAATTATATTTCATAGTTTGTTTCATATTTCCCTCATATTTGTATAAGCATGTATACTTCTATAGTAACACGGCGCCTCTATATATTTTCTATCTCAATGGATGTTGGCAGTTTAGGTCACTCTTTTTAGTTCAAGTAGGTTCGAAAAGATGGCATTATGGCAGAATATCTATGAAATCTTGAACATTGCATTGCAATTTTTTTTTTAATAAACTAGCTCGTTTATACATTTACACGATTGGGGCAGTGGATGGGCAACTGGCTGCTGTGCAATTTGTCGCGAGTTCGATTCCCGCACGGAACAGCTCTTTGTGTGAGCCACAAATTGTAGTTCCGGGTCTGGGCGTGATGTGTATGATTGTATGTTTGTAAAGACACCCAAGACACATGAATGATATCCTAGTGTGGGGCAACGTTTTTAAAGTTACCTACTGTTATTTCTCGTTTTAATATTATACGTATTGATTGATTTGCGCTGACTTGTTTAATGTAGGTAGTTGTTAGAGATATATTTACATATTAATTAAACAACTATGTCTTCCAAAAATAGTTATATTTTGAAAATAAAAATATTATGTGAGTTCTATTACATATTCAGGACTAGACTTTTAGTAGTGCTAAATACTGCCTATATTTAATTTAATCAATGAAAGATAACAGGACAGTGGATTTGCTTAATAAAAAATCATTTAGGTAGGTCACCTAGCCTAATTTTAAATAATGAACAGCCTCGGCTGCGTGACATCGCTGCGACGCGCATTCTGAACAAAAGTTCCGTTGTGACTTGAAAATAATAGTTTTTCTAAGCCCGTATACATGAGTATCTAAGTTGTTATTTACAATAAATTAAGTGTTTCTCACGATAGTTATATTATATTATTCAAAAATTTAGCCTAACGAGTATAAACTTACACAATTAAATACAAATAAGTAATGTTAAAGTTGGTATTTCTTAATTAGGATCAGAATATTAATTCTTTTTCTTTTTCTTGGCGAGTGTGGTAAGGATCGTAGTCATAACTGTGGTAGTAGTTGTCAGCGCTTCGGTAGTCGCACTTGTGATGTTCAAGGGCGCGTCCTCTTCATCGTCTTGGCTTTGTGAGTCATCAGGAATACTGATTTGGAACTGCAGCAACACTACGAGGTATGTCACCATAGTGGCCAGCAACTGTGAAAAAATAAGTTTGCATTAAGAAACACCGAAAAGTGCTGAGCAAACGCCGCTTCTCACATGCAGAAGGTTTGAGCATTGTTCACCACGGTTGCGGTTGGTCAAAGCGGATTCGTGATTTCAAACTTATGATTAGAAATTTTAAGACTAGGTTTCTTCGCTGTATTTCCTTCACTGTACGTCAATGGTATCTAAATCATCATAGAAAATACATATAAGTATCTCAGAAAAAGTCACATTGGTACTGCTAGTTTCAAACCCGCACCCTCATACATGAAAAGCGACGAAATACGCCGTTGACAAAAAATCGAGTAGAGGTCCAACACTGCAAGATTGTACATTAACGCATTTGTATCTTTCTTCAGTGTTGCAGACGTCAAAAGGCGGCGGTGTTCATTTACCTACTAGCTTGTGATAGGTGTGCTCGTTTGCCTAGTTAAATTAGCAATTTAAAAAAATGCGCGTTTATCACAGTGGTTTGTTGAGTGGTTGTTGTTCGGCTTTGATTTCCGCAGGAGACAATGATTTGTGGGTCAAACACATTTTTGTTTCATGTCTGAGTGTAGGTATGTGCAACTGAGCATTTAAAATGTTGCCACAAAATAATAAAAATGAATGAAGCGGGACAACTTCAAAAACGTGGTTAATAGGATCGACGACAAATCCTAATGGCGACAGAATAGTCAAGCACTCTCTAAAGATTGTTGGCCTATGCCCTTGGTGTTCTTGAACGTCGCCAATGTGAGACTATCGATGAGGCCCTAGAACTTGTTTGCGTACAGAATTATTGATATGACATTGTGTTGACTACTTTATTGAACTTTTTGTAAAATCTATTTTAATGGTAT